GTCCTTAATTTCATGTCCTGCCCTGTGATCACTTTCTTCCAGATGCAGAAATTCTACAATTACCCACATCAGAATCAGGAGAGCACAGAGACAGAGCAGCCCACCTCAGCCTGCGCATCCTCTCCCACCTTCCTCCACACACCGGGCCCTTCACCTTCCCCCAATCTCCAGGAGCTCAGGAGGCCCCAGGCAAAATCAGGGAGCGATCACGAGATACACAAACCCAGATCCACAAAATTGCCCTACAGGAAGTCCCTCCTGAAGTCTGCCCACTCCCATTCCTGCTGCAGCCTCAGTGCTTTCCCCAGTAGAGCCCCAGGTCTACACAGATGATGGTTCTAGAAGACTAGAATTTCTTTATAAAAGTTTTAATTTTTAAAAGAAAAAATTTTTAATTAGTTTTCTGTTCATCCATTTTGTATAGAAGCCCTCCCTTTTTGTTCTTCTTAATAACCACAGTGCTCACTCTTTCCCCTCGTTCAGGACTTAGCTAAAAATCACCTGTTAGGAAATCCTGCCCTGAGGACAAAACTTAATATTACACCTGGCTCCTTCATCTTTCCTTCCTTGTTCTTTTTCTCTAAATCACTCTTTACATTCTGACACTGCTGTATTTTTCTTCAGTTACTTCGTTATTATTGTCTGCATATTGCATCTCAAGGTGAGCTCCACCAGGGCAGGGATTTTTGCCTGATTTGGTCTGGTCTATCCTGTGTCTGGAAGAGTGCCTGGCACATAACAGATTCTTAGATATTTTTTAAGGGATGGATAAATCCAAGGACCAGTCCTCCATAAAGCTAAATCTGTGACACGAAAGGTAGGTTGTTTCTGGTATGGGATTTGGGGGTCTCTTTGTGCATGTGTATAAGGGGGGGCTATCTACTAGCTTATCACAGGCCAAGAGCCCCACATTCGACAAGTCCTGCCATGCCCCTCTGCACTGTGGAAGTGGCCCCAGCCCACGGCCAAAAGAAAATATCTGACCACGTGCTGCCTCCACAGCCTCCGGGACTCTGGAGGGGAAGTCCTGGCCAGGTCACGGAATATGCAGCAGTGAAGGCCCCTCATCTCAGTCTTAGCTCCACAATCTGCTGCTGCTTCCCATCTTGCAGCCCTGCTCAGCTGCAGCCTGTGGAGACCTCAAGGCCTCCCCTGCTTACAACCTCTAATACATGGGGCCAGATGGCAGGGTGGGAAATGAGATTTGGGTTCAGGACTGCAGGACCATTAATTTCAGGCACTGGACATAGCAAGGGACGAGCCTTGAGGAGTCTAGACAACAGGCCCTTTTCTGCTTGTCCAGGAAAGTGAACAAAAGAGGAAGGACAGCAAGACCCTAAACTCTCAGAGCTGGGAAGGGCCACCCGTCAGGCTCCAAGAGGGTGGGTGGTCTAACACCCTGGAGAAGGGTCCACCCTTGGCATCCAAGGGATGGTGATTAGATGCCTGGGTCCTGGAGGTCTGGGGCAGTGGAGTGGGACCACCCTTGGGCTTCATGAAAGATGCTGAGCTGATGCCTGGACCTGACACACCGCAGATCTCCTGTGGGCCGATATAGTCTTCAGCTCCTATGCCTTGTCTGTTCTCAACACTCTAGGAATGCTGTCTTGGTGTCAAACCGAAGAGAAGCCGGCTCCCAGCCCACAGCCCCGTGGTGGCTACAATTGCTCCTGCTGTCTTAGGAGATCCAGGTAACCAAGGGTTGTGACTGCA